GTACAAAGTATTAGAAAAATTTCAGTAAGTGTGTTCAATACTTTTTCCCTGTGCCATTCCACATTATTACAAATAACTTCATTTCTTTACATTTATGGTTTGATTTCTTTGTATGTATGGATCACTTGGGTTGTTACCGACATCTGGTGAAAATTTCACGTCATTAGCACCTCTAGTAATATATTAACTGAGAAAAATGGTGACGTGTTCAATACTTATTTTTCCCGYTGTATGTTACATTTAGTTGTTATGAAACTGATGTATATATTTAACAGACAGGAAACAGGATTGTTTCTCTTCTCGCACTTTTCAGGAAATGTTTGAATTTAATTTTCAGGTGCCACCGCATGTGCGTTTGACCCCCTTTGATTGGTTTTAAGTCATGTGGAGAATATCCAGCGTTGACTTCTAATTAAACGAAGCACATCAGTGCTGCAGTGACAAGCCTGTACTTTTTTTTTAAAACGTAAATATTCAAAGGGATGGAATTATTAATCATCTCACAATAATAATAGATAAGTCAAGACTGCGTTTTTCTTTTTACTTTGGAATTTAGGGCAAGGTTGCAAAAGCTTTACAGATTAGTGGAAAAACAGTTTAACCAACTTCTATCTTTTTTACAAAACAGAGTAAGAAGCTTAGATTGAACTTTTTTTTGTTTGGCACGTCAGAGCTGAATAAAAATGCACCAATATTGTTTGTAAGGGCAAGGAATTTAAATAGTGGACATGCTTTCTTTTCTTACTCAGTAAACGTTTTCTCAAATAGTTTATTGTGAGGACAATCTTCATTTTCACCTGAATGCAACTCTTATAGTTAATCAATGTTTCCACCTTGCATAGATTCATTCTTGTTGAAATGTTGCCCTAGTTAAATTCAGGTTTTTTTTCCTTGTTTGTTTTGTAGCCAGGCAAGCAAATAAATAAATAAATAAATAAATAAATAAATAAATAAATAAATAAATAAATAAAAGCATTGAATGTACTTAATACAAAGCATGAAATTAAACGTAAAATGTTATCCTGAACTTTATTAAATGGTGCAGTTTGAAAGTGTTACTCTACTGTTTATGTTGGAATGCAATTTATAAATGCGGGTCCACACTCAATATAAGCAAAGAACTTAGCTGATTCTGCCAATATCAACATGAAAGCTTAAGTCATGTAACTGACCTACAATAAGCTGGCTGTGATCAGTGTAGCTAAACAATTATGGCCAGAAAGTTTAATATTTGAACTTTTGTCAATACCTTAGGTCAGTGGTTCCCAAACTTTTTATCTTCTGACCCACAAAATATCCATGGCAAAAACTTGTGACCCCAAATATTACTGGTCTGAGTACACAAACTTTGTTAATAACCCTAAAAACTCAGTTTTTTTGACAATCTAAACAGCTTGTACACAAATATAAATACTTATTTATACTTATTTTGTGATTTTGTAAAAGTTATAGGGAAAATATTACATCAGCAATTATTTTATTACCCTTTAAATTGATTTCTGGAGATTATCCAAGGTGCTTCATGACCCATAATTGGGTCCCAAGCCCAACTTTGGGAACCAAAGTGCAGTGGTTCCCAAACTTTTCAGCTTTTGACCCACAAAATAACTGTAGCAGAGACCTGAGCCCCCAACTATTTCTGGATGATAAACATTTGTATCAGGTCAACTAAATATGGGCATAGTAACAATATTTTTTTATATTACATTTATACATTTTAAATATACTGACCTCACTCCTTTTGTAACAACTAAGGCAAAAATGTAATTAATTCCAAAAATCTTTTCAGGACCCCACCTTGGGAAACACTGCCTTAGGTAGCTGATCTGGTCACACATTTTGTTTACCATTTTTTTAGGGACACACTGGCCATAAATATGAGGAAAATAGTGCACATTTTGTTTCTTACGATTTATTTATTTATTTATTTATTTATTTATTTATTTATTTATTTATTTATTTATTTATTTATTTATTTATTTATTTATTTATTTATTTATTTATTTATTTATTTATTTATTTATTTTGGTCTTTGTGACTGTGAGTGCCTTTAATATGAGTTGCTGTGTTTATACCACTAAATCAGTATTGATTTTTATTTTAATAATCCTTTATGCTTATGTGTCAAATGCAAACATTAAATAAAATGTATAGCAAATAAACTTCAAATACATATTTAAGCTAATTTTACGGTAGTGTCTTATACCATTAAAATGTAATTGCATTTAAATGATGGCCTGCTGTTTGACTAAAACCATTTTGATTATTTCACTTGACTCATGACAGATGAAGTTTGGACTGTTTTTAAAAATTAAAAATCCGTAAAAAGTTAACTTATTGAAGCTCGATGAGTCACTGTGTAAAATTTTATTCACAGTTATTTTTTTATTTAGAAAAAGGGATTTTTTTTGCCTAAAGCCCCCAGCAGCAGCCCGATACGCGCATTATGAAATCATCCGTATGACGTCATTAATTGATCCGAGCAGTTTGCAGTTTGAAGCATCAGGATCTGCAGCTCCTTGTAGACAAAGGGTGTACAGTGAGAGCCCGTCTCTTTTTCTTTCTGCTGAGAGGAGGAGACATTGGACATTATTTGGCACCAGCAGGAGCCCATTGGTCCGTTTTGAAGTAATCTTATCTGAGAAGGTRAGGCAATTTTTGTAATTATTTAATATATTCAGCAAAATGTTTGCATCTACAACTTAGAGAAGCTTTTGAAGGAACCGAGATGTTATTTTCTCTGCAAAAATGAAAATTTGTGCGTTCTCGCACCACCAAAATCCACGCGCATCAACAGACAATTTCGATAATGAATAAAGTGACTGAAAAACTGGTGTCAACAACTGGAATAAAATAAAGTTATTAATTATTCCTATCTTAGCTGTGGCAGTTTTAGCCTTTCACTCTCCATCATCAGTTATGATGATTGACCGACTTTCTTCTTCAGCTGTGTTTTTAATCATCTCTTCTCCAAGAGGCGGATTTATCTCCCCTCTCACCTTCGAACAGTACCTCCCTGCTGTGCAGGAAGCGCACAATTTACCCATATCTTTGACCTATATCTGAGTGTGCTTCTCTTCAAATGACGTGTTCAAATTGTTGTTAAAACGCTGTGTTTGCTCGCACTGTTTTGGCTCCAGGAGGTGGTCACGGATGCGCATCCCGTGCGTAAAGGCGCGTTTGTCCAAAACTGGGGACTTGGGGATGCTTATATTTATTTTACTACTATGATTTCAGATTAAAGGGTATTAGATTGATGTATATGATTACATATACAATGTTTAATTTGAACAGTTTATTTGTGTGTGCAATACTTATGAATGCATATCCCCTAAACTTTTTTGTTCCACATGAAAATCGAAAGTCGATGCCCAATCTTTTTTTAAAGACTAAGGATTACAAGAGTGGTCACAACTCACCTTTAACAAAACTTACATTTACTGCTCATAATTTTTCATCCATTTAAGTTTTTCAGTGTTCAGCTTAACAAAAGTTATGTGGTGAGAGCAAATAAAATCCTAAAAACTGACAAGTGCAGTTGTTTCTCATTAAAACCAAAACGATCTGTTTGCAGATGGGACTTTTGGCTAAAGATATTCCATTCCACTCCAACATACCCAGACCAGTGGATACAACCGTCGCTGTGGTCTACTCCATTTTTGGTGAGTCAAGTTTTACAAAATTTCAAATTATTATTTTTTTATTATTATGAGCAGACCACCAACAGAGGTAATAATGTTGTAAATTAGTTTTCCGCAAGTTCTGCTCGAACAGGAATCAATCCCAGCGTGAGGAAATAAAACACAGTGTGAAGACCTGTGGATTTCACAAAAAGACTCAATATTTCTATCTTTATTACAGTTTATGTATTTCAAACACTTTTTGTAYGATTTCTTTGCCAGCCAGAGTATTACACATACATTATACTAATAATACATGGGTTGACATGAATATATGGAAACTGGTTGTGGATTCGTTGTCCCATGCAAAATCATTCTTTTGCAGCAGGAATTTTTGTCCTGCTAAGATGCCCCCCAACAATCCAAGAAAGCTGCAGAATTCTGCAGAACAATTTGTGTCGTTCTTAAAAAAATTATAGGGTAATCTCATGGATTTTTCTAAAACTCATCTTCAAATTTATTTTATGTCTCAGAGCTTGTGGGACATACCCCCCCCCCCACCACCACCACCACCAATAAAATAAATTAAATAATCATATCCCAACCTGCTCTGCTGCTAGAAAATAAGTTCACCACCTCTCCTCGTCCTCTTTTCTCTGCTCTTCTGAGCCCACGTTCTGTCTTTCCCCGTGGCCGACAGTTCCTCCCCGCCCCGGACCCCACGCACTCATGTGAGTGATGCAGATTCTTTGTGAAAATTACAGATCTTTGGGTGTCATGGTCCAGGTAAACTCCCGAAGGGGGTTCACATGTATGTTTAGTCACCTCAATAATATAGTAAAATGCTTTTCAAACGGCTGGAAAATGCACGGTTTTATTTCCGAAGGAGTAAACCCCTGGATCCACCTAGAACTGCTTCACTCCATAGTTGCTCGTTAATATGAACAGGTGTTCCTCATTGCTGTCAGCAGATGTTGGCAGGTATGAGGTAAACCTCTGGTGTTTCAAATGAATTATATTGTTAAATATTTTTATTGGAACGCAGCCACAAAGGGATATGCGTCTTTTTGTGCCGATCCCAAGCCTGTATAATTTCAGAGGGTTGCTTCAGGTAGATAGGGTTACTCGGGGACATACTGTAAAAATGAAATGTTGGATTTACTTAACCATGTTATGTGACCTGGTTCCACTTAACTGAGTTGAGTAAATTCAAAGCAATATACCAGTTTTTTAACCAAAGAACATGAGTATGTTGCTTTGAATTTACTCAACTCAGTTAAGTGGAACCAGGTCACATAACATGGTTAAGTAAATCCAACATTTCATTTTTAGAGTGCAGACGACTCACTGTGGAAGAAGTTAATTATTTTAATTGGACAATCTGGTTTTTAGAGGTAAAAAAATAATGTCAAAGTCAAAACTTTTTATGTAAACTGGCAGTTACATTTAGAAATGCACAAGAGACACCTCCTGAAATCTATAGGATGCCAAACTGAACAGGGTCGGCCCTAATTTGGAACAAGTTAGTTTAGAAAAAAAATAGCTTTAGTTTTAAGATGCTGCTGTGTACTCAGACATGTTAAAAAGTGCCGATTTGTTCTGCAGGAGTATGTTCACTGTTTGGCAACAGCACTTTGCTGTATGTCTCCTACAAGAAAAAGCACCTCCTGAAGCCTGCAGAGTACTTCATCATCAACCTCGCTGTTAGTGACCTGGGCCTCACTTTGTCTCTCTACCCCTTGGCGATCACTTCCAGCTTCTACCACAGGTACTGAACTCGTAGTCTGCGGGTGCATGAAAGTAAATGAGCAGAGCGAAGAATGCCACTGGAGAAATGGGATATTTGCAGCTGAAATGTGTAATACAGGCACCGTTTTTAAACCCGACTTCCTTTTATGTGTCGCAGTTTTATCCTTTAATAATTATGCTTAGCAGCACGACTGCCAGTGAGGTCACAGAAATGGCGTGTCAGGTTCGAGCTACTCTCTTGTTATATTTCTCTCACCTTCTCCCTTGTTGATCTGTCCTTCCTCTTTGTCTTTTCGCCGTTCTCTCCTCAACCCCTCGCCTCCCCCTGCCCTCCCACGCAGGTGGTTGTATGGCGAAACAGCGTGCTCCATTTATGCGTTTTGTGGCATGTTGTTCGGCCTCTGCAGCCTGACCACCCTCACCCTGCTAAGCATGGTGTGCTTCATGAAAGTGTGCTACCCACTCTACGGTAAGCCTTTTCCAGAAGCTATGTTTGCCCAGCGGCACGATTAAAACATCACATCCCCGAGAGAGGAAACTGATCGTGCCTCTGCGCAACACGCTTAAGCTTGTATTTGATGACTGACGTGTGCAGTCAGTTAAGTGCTGCTTGTGATGTTGGGTGATGCGGTGCAGTTGGGTTTTTAATGTGGCCCCAAGAGAGTGAACTCTGTTTTTGTTCCTGACACTCAAATATAGGCACTTAGGCATGATCACATTCAAAAAACGTCATTCCTTTAAACCACTTGACAAACAAATTGAAATTTTCTTTAGAAATGTCAACTTGCATATAGATATTTGGTCTAAATTGCATTTTTATCATTCAAAACTATCCGTTTTTCGCCCGTTACCACAGAATAATGACTCTTTGAGMTGCCCAATGTTTCATGTTTGTAGCTGGACAATTATCAAACCATGTATTATGCCCTAATGAAGTTCATTGTGTCTATAAAATCAATCTACTACGTTTTCCTAATTACTAGACACTTTTTTTTATTTTTTATGTCTATACAGACATACCTGACATGTTTGAACATGTACTACTGATGAAGACGGAAGTACACGTCAAAACATGTCAGGTATGTTTGTATAGACATAAAAAATAAAAAAAGTGTCTAGTAATTAGGAAAACGTAGTAGACATGTATTATACCTCATGTTTCTCAAGCACACAAAGAAAWTTGACAGATCCAGCTGAATATGGATACCTGATCTAGTTGTTAAGGGTCACAAGATTGTAAAAAAACTTGTTGCTGCATTTAAATAGATTTTGTAGGAAGATACAAGATGATCTAGATTACATAAAAAGGTCAGTGGAAACAAGGCTTGTACCTGTAGCACTAATAAAAGAAAATCATACCACAGCCTTTTTATAAAGACATGAAATATATTAAAGTTTTTTATTAAACATAACGTATTGCATTTCTATAGAACTGATGACAAATTACTGATCCAGTATGAAACATGTTGGCAACCTTGTTTCATTAAAATATTTTTCTTCCTCAACTTCCATCTGTTCAGATTAGGGCAACATGACAAATACCCACCATAAAACACGGCCATAAAGTGTGCACCACCGTCCCTAAGGATTACCTCATTATCTGTGTTAATAGTCGTTGGACAAATCTAATATTCGTGACTTACTGTGATGTTATAAATGAACAAAATGGTTGTGATGGAAGCAGTTTGTTCAGCTTCCTGAAAAATTCCAATAAAACCTTATTTTGTTTTGTCAGGAAACCAGTTTAAGTCTCTTCACGGCCAGCTGCTCATCGCCTGTGCTTGGGTCTATGCTCTGTTGTTCGCCTGCTCCCCGCTGGTCCACTGGGGAAAGTATGGACCCGAGCCCTATGGCACCGCCTGCTGTATCGACTGGCGCCAGTCCAATCGGCACACCTCCACACGCTCTTACGCCGCGGCTCTGTTCGTTTTCTGCTACATCCTTCCGTGCTGCCTTATCGTTGCATCCCACACAGGCATTCTGGTCACTGTGCAAACATCCCGGAAGACCATGGCGCAGCACGCATCAAAGCAGACGCAGAAAAACAACATTCAGAGGATTATTGTCAAGGTAAGAAAATGATCTAGGATCTAAAAAAGGGTTTCACTTTCACAATGTATAAAGTCTATTTGTGGTACACAACAGTTATTGCATTGAGTAGGCCTACTTTAAACATTTATCAGATATAACAAAGGCTGGGTCTCAGTTCAGTGGCTGAAGCCCATTTAGTGCAAATTTGTCCTATTTCATGGTCTCCTCATAATGCAGCCCACTAAACTTAGAAAACAATATACTGAGATTTAACATCATTTTTTATCGAAAAAGACAAAGTTTGGAAAGTAATCGTGGACCGAAGAAATAGTTTTTATCTATGTATCTTTAGTATCTAAGCTAATATTTTTTGCTGCAATAAGATGTTAAATAAAAAGTATTAAAAAGTATGGAGCTAAACCCAAATAATTAATGTAAATAAAAAGTCACTGGATATTTTGAAATTATACCTCCAGTGAAAAGACATGCGAATGCATGTTCCAAAGCATTTTTTAAAGGCATATAAAACATATATGTGATGAGGTAATGCCTGGTCATGTAAACATGCATCATTTGATGACTAGGCTTTCTCATTTCACAGCTGTTTGATGCAGCCTACCTGGATTGAAAAGGGTGTGGCCTCCGTGGGCTGCGGTCCACATGGACAGCAACCCTTGAACTGAGACACAGCCAAATGATGCACACTAGATTTGGTTAACTTGCTCTATAATTAACATATTGGGAGATGTATTGCATTTCTAAATGTATTTCATGTATCTTTTTTTTGTATGTGCTTTTCTTTTATTTTTTTCTAAGCTGAGCGTGGGCGTCTGCATTGGTTTCTTTGCGGCGTGGAGCCCTTACGCTGTCATTTCCATGTGGGCCGCCTTCGGACAGGTTGAAAACATCCCTCCTCTTGCATTTGCAGTGCCTGCCGTATTCGCAAAGTCCTCCACTATCTACAACCCCATCATCAACGTAACCCTGAGACCAAACATCCGCAGGATGATGTGCAGAGACCTCGGCGTGCTATTCGAACGGTGCCTGAAGCGCTGCCTCGCCCTCAAGGGGCAGGCAAAGTGCTGCTCAAAGCCCGAGATCAAGGTCAGACTGCGCACGATCCACAGACAGAGCAGCCAGTTTCCTTCATCGATCTCAGCTGCTCAGCCACCGGTAGTAACTATTAAGGATTACAGCTGCCAGAGGTGGGAGGATGGTTTGGAACACTTTGGACTCTACCCTCAAATGTGTGCTACTGCTAATCCAGCTGTCAACAGAGACTCATCGAAAGATGAAGACGCTCCCCTTTCCCAAGCACACGCCCATGTTTCTGAGAGGGAGATGGCCATTATAAATACTTTAGAGACAAATACCTTCAATTTTCATTTAAAAATGGCCCAAAGGAGCAAAAAACAGGCTTGGTCTTGATAAGTATGTGTAATTTATACCGTTTTGGTCATTTTTGTTCTTTGAGGACATTTTGTTCAGGAATTTGCAAAATGTTCCTCATGTGTTGCAGCAGCAACTATGTGATGTATTCAGACATTTGTTATATATATTTAAAAAAACACTACTTCAGCCACTGAAGCTGAATGGAAAATATTTTATTTATTTACCTTTTTTTGAACAGGCAAATCCCACTGAGATCACAGATCTCTTTTGAAAGAGGGGGCTGGGCCTGAAGGCAACCCATTGTGCAGGTTTATTTATTTATTTATTTATTTATTTATTTATTTATTTGTTTGTTTGTTTGTTTGCTTGTTTGTTTGTGGAAACTGTAGTGCCCAAAGAAAACCCACACGAGCACAAGAAGAACATACAAACTTCTCACAGAAAGACCCCAGGTGCAACCTGGGGATCAAATCCAGGACCTTGTTGCTGTGAGGCATCAGTGCTAACCACTGAGCCATTGTGCCGCCACTCAGTTAATTTATAAAAGCTTATTTTTTTACTTTACATATGAACATTCATTATTCCAGAGCAGTATACTGTAGTTTAAGGCAAGAATTTTTGATGAGTTTTTTTTTAACATGCTGAATAAATTTTCTGTCAAACTGCCAACTCAGACAATTTTCTGATGTGCGCTCATTTTTTACTTGCGTGTTTTTAACTGTTTGATTAGGTTAAATAAAGCTGAAATGTGGATATCTGAAATATTTTTATAATTTTTTATAGCACAGACTTTGCTTAAGTTTCATCTAACTGATTGGATTTTAAATGTTTGATTTTAAAAGTCAAATAAAAATAAAAATAAATAAATAAATAAATAAATAAATAAATAAATAAAATTTAAAAGAAACACTGACAAAAATTGAGCTGTCTGGGTCACTGATGTAGAGCTTGAGCCTTTGCTACTAAGATAAAGTCAGCACCATGAGTGAAGACTGTACCACAGCCCCTCATACAGTCAATTAGCCAATAGATGAAAAGACTAAGTGGAAATACTGTTTCTACACAGGACAACAGGTTACAGCCTAGTAACTATGTCAACTGCTGGTGGGCCAAATCAAATGGCTTGGCGGGCCAAATTTGGCCCCCACTTTGGGCTCTTCTGGACTAGATGAATACTGTATGATGTGTCTCCTCCTTCATTCCTCCTTTCGGGCGGACCTCCCTCGACAAGGCCCACCCGTTTTTCCCTCTTCTGGAACCTTCTTGGCTTCGGTTTCAATGATGTAGCCTAATGTTTTCTCTCTGCTCCCGAGCGCCCCTTAATGATTGTCCGATCTTCAAACTTATGACAAAATTGTCTTCACTTTTTCATGATCCTAGGTTTTTTTACAYGCTTAAAACTAAACTCTAAATTATATAGTGTTTTTTTTTAAACGTGTGGTTTTAATTCATGCATAAATCCGTGTTAGCCGCAGACAGATTTAGGTTAATGCATAATCCAGTACATCAAAGGTACATTTCACTTTCTACTTCTCATTTATATGATCACACAGCCGAGGGTTTTTTTCCATTTTACTATTGGTCTCATTTGTCTTGCTGCAGCGAGTCTTGTCCATTTAACAAATGATTCTCAAAAAAAAAAAAAAAAGAAAAACCCTAGTATGTTTCTGTACATCTGCCTCGGTGGGGTCATTTTTCTTTGCCTATAAATTAGAACCTGACAGCAGTGAGGCTGCTGCACTTCACCACCGACCTCTATGCACACTCTCCAGGCACCTCTGCAGGTGTCTGTTTTGCAGATTTACACTCACTTAGAGAATCACTAGAGATTTCTGACAGACCTCCGTAGGCCTCTGCATTTCTCTACATCTTAAGATGGTACACTTTGAGCTTGTGCCAACATGTTTATACAGCCTGGGACATTCCTGCATTTACAGCATTATTATACTGATTCATCACACAATAATATTTTATAATAAACACTCTTTTGCATTCTATTAATGATTGTAAAGAAAAAAAGATGACACACATTCTGTCATTACAGTATACACTTCAGTGTGTAAGAGCAGAGAAACCTCTGAAACATGCAGGATAGGGGCCCTCGAGGACCAGCTAGTTTTAGATCAATTGGAATTAAATTGACTGCAATTTACTTTGACAATAACATTATCACTTAGTTTAGTTTACTATCAACTATTGAAGTGTAATAAGATATGACATGTTTGACGTTTATTTTGCTCATTTATTTCAGCAACAGAACTGTTTGTGTTCAAGTAAACCCAATTCTTTGAATGTGTTTCTTTTACAGCTCAAACATTGTTTATATTAAAACAACTGCAGGTAAGTTGATGCTGTTTTAGATACATATCGTAAAGAGCGCAACTCCATACAATGTTATTATTATAGGTTTAATATATTACTATTATGTGAACTATATTGCTAAAAGAGAAATAAAATAAAACCAGTTATTGTAAAAAACAAACTAAGCTTAATTGAATATCACGACTCAGCTATCAGCTTCGGCATCTCCTCCAGTGAGAATGATAAACAAAAAATGATAAAATACATAAAATACACAGTGAATTTTTACAAACGTATGAACCTTGTTTATTTGAAATGTTAAAAATAGCATTCCAGTAGCAGAAAACATCTAACAAGGCTTTTGTAACAGTGTAGAGAAATCAAATATCACTTTGCAGCTAAAACGGCATCACTCACAAATGAAGACATTTCATATTAAAAAAAAAAAGACATGACCGCATTCCCAAGATTACACAATTTTCAGAGAGAAAAAGAGCAAATTATCCAAACTGTTCAATATGGTACAATAAAAATTCACCAGATTTATGATACTTACAATGAATCATGAAATACAGTCAATAAGTACTGATAAGTACAAAAGTGATTACATTCATAACGACACGTGTCACTAACCTAAAATACAAGGAATTATAACGAGTGATTTACAAAGTTTCTATTAAAAATATTTATTTGGCAAAATGTCTTGCTTTGGCTTAGCATGATTATAAAATCTGATCGCACATATATATAC